CCAGTGACCTCTGGTTTGGGGATGTGGGGTTTGGTCTCCCCTGCCTCCACAGGGACACCCAGAGCAGGGGGCACAGCCTCATGTCCGGGGGCTGAATGTCCACAAGGAGAAAACCACACAGCCTCTGGGTCCTTGTGCCAGGACTGCAGCATTGCACGGCATAACAATGCTTCCTTTATAGGAGAGTGTACTGATAGGACAAAGATGAATGGCTCTAATGAAAAGGAGGGCAGGTTTAGATCAGGTATCATGAAGGAATTCTTTAAGACAAGGGTGGTGAGGCCATAAATCAATTTTCCCGGAAGAGCTGCTGTTGCCCCATCCCTGGCAGTGCCCAAGTCCAGGCTGGATGTGGCTTTGGCACAGTGGGCGGTGTCCCCACAGTGGGACAGATCAGATGTGGCCAATTGTGGAGCAGCAATGAGGTGTGATGGCAGCACTGCCCTCCTCCTGACGCTGCCTCTGAATGCGCTGCTGAGCTGCACAGCGTTTCCAGCCCCGGCACTGCTGTGCAGGAGGAGAGCAGGAACAGCACAAGTGCAGCAGTCAGACCTGGGGACACAGCGCAGCGCTGCTTCGGTGAGTTGCCTGCAGCTCTGCTGCCACTACTGGAAGAGATTCCAAGGATGCAGAATCTGCTTTCAAGGAGCAGGTTCTGTCTTCCATGAATACAGTTCAGCCAATATTTCTTTCCAAAGACAAAGTCAATGGAGATGGGTAATTTTGATGACATTTCACTTTCTGCATGCTCATACGGCTGTGGGACTAACCTGAGTCCCCAGAGATCATCTGTATCACCTTCATTGGCACAGGGAGGGAAGCAGAGGAGGTGTGTGCCATTCTCACTTAAAATCTCTCTCCTTTCAGGCTCCTCGTGCTTTCCCAATGGCAGGCCGTCAAATCACAGGTGAGTGTCTCTCCTGCTGCATAGTAGTGTGTATCCTGAGGCTGCCTCCCATCTCACTACTCTGAGAGCTGCACAGGGCGAGGCTGAGGGCAGATGGAGCAGTGGTGTGCGGTGGGTACAGCCTGAGATGCAGTGCAGAAGAGAAAGCTGTACCCCAAACCTCTCTGCCTCTGTGACCATTGCAGGGAAGCTATGACCCGCTGAAGCTGTGTGGGGCAGGAAGGTGCTGAAAGGGCAATGCTGCACAAATGCTGCTTCATTATCTGCTCATTGTTTACCTTGTGCATTCCTGGGACTCAGGGAGCTGTGTGATCGCTTTCAGTTTCTGTTTCTGCTATCAGAAGAGCACTGGGTGCAGCCATTTAGGAAGCCTGGAGTTGGACAGCCCTGGGCACCCTTAGGGCTGACCCTGAGGACCACTGCTGGGGCAGGGAGGGCTGGGCTGCCCACAGCGTGTTGTTGGTGCTGGGATGAAGCTGGAGCAGATCTTGGGGCGGTGAGGTGACACTGTTGGCTGTCTGGTATCAAACCCAGAGGAGCTGCTCCACTGGCCGTAGTCCCCAGCTGCTTCTCCATGGTGTGGGGAACGTGGCGGTGGGAGCCATGCTGTGCCCATTTCTGTCCAGCCATGGGGCTTTGTGTCCCTCTTCCAGAGGGCCCTTTGGTCAGAACCTTCTGTTTGGGCTTTGCTTCCTTCTGGGCATTAGCTGTCTTCCTGTTTTCCTGTGGGAGAGCTGAGAGACGTCTTCACTGGTGGTCAGGCTCTTTCCCATGTCTGCCAGATCCCTGAAGTTCTAGGTGTGGGTGAGAGGAGCGCATTTCGTCCCACAGTAACGGTGGAAGATGTCCGAGACCTCCTCATGAAACTGAATGTGTATAAGTCCATGGGGCCGGATGATATCCATCCTAGGGTTCTGAGAGAGATGGCTGGTGTGGTTGTGTCATGGTTTTGTGATTTTTGGTTTTCGGTATTCCACATCATAACATCATGTGGGGCACTGGGAGTTTAACTGTTAATGCTCAAGTTCTGGTACCTGCCCAGAAGAGAAGAAGAACTACATTCCCCAGAGGGCTTTGTGGTCAGAGAGGAGATAGAACCTCTGGCAAGGTCACCAGATGCGCTCTTCTTCGTCGGCTCTTCTTCGTCGGCTCTCCTCCCGTCTCCCTGCTGCTCAACTGGACTGTGCATCTCACCTCAGTGTTATGGTGAGGCCTATCCACCTTTCGGACATTCTCTCTCTCATTATATTTGATTTATTAGCTTCAATTCTAATTATATTGTATTATGGTGTGTTATCTTGCATTCTGATACTATATTTAGTAAATTAGTTTGTTTCTCCTCAGATCGTTGCCTCTGTTTTTCATTATTTTGGGGTTCCCTGTTCCCCTTCTCTGGAGGCGTGGATTTTGCAAAATCCCTCTGCCCCACTAGTCACAGAACTGGGCCGAACCAGCCCGTAAACCGTTGACAGGTTGCCAAGCCAGTCTCCATCATATCTGAAAAATCATGGCTGCCTGGTGAAGTCCCTGGTAACTGGAAAAAGGGAAATGTTACTCCTATTTTTAAGAAAGGGAGAAAGGAAGACCCAGGGAACTGGTGAGCCTCACCTCTATGCTGGAAAGGTCATGGAGCAGATCCTCCTAGAAGCTGTGTTAAGGCACATATGAGATAAGAGGTTATTTGAGACAGCCAGCATGGCTTCACCAATAGCAGATCATGCCTGACCAATCTGGTGGCCTTCTATGATGGAGTGACGACATTGGTGGATGGGGGAAGGGCAGTAGATGTCATCTACCTGGACTTCTGCAAGGCCTTTGACATGGTCGCTCACCACATCCTGCTCTCTAAATTGCAGAGGTGTGGATTTGAAGGGCGGAGTGATCAATGGATTAGGAATTGGCTGGCTGGACACAGCCGAAGGGCTGTGATCAAAGGTTCTGTGTCATGGTGGAAGCCGGTCACAAGAGGTGTCCCTCGGGGGTCAGTCTTGGGACCAGTGCTCTTCAACATCTTCATCAATGACAGACGATGGCATCAAGTGCACCCTCAGCAAGTTTGCAGATGACACCAAGCTGAGCGGTGCAGTCGATACACTGGAAGGAAAGGAAGCCATCCAGAGGGAGCTGGACACGTGGAGAAGTAGGCCCACGGAAACCTAATGAGGTTCAATAAGGCCAAGTGCAGGGTGCTGCACTTGGGTTGGGGCAATCCCAGGTATTTATACAGACTGGGGGAAGATCTTGAGAGCAGCCCTGCAGAGAAGGACCTGGGGGTCCTGGTGGATGAGAAGCTGGACATGAGCCAGCAGCGTGCGCTTGCAGCCCAAAAGGCCAACTGTGTTCTGGGCTGCATTAAAAGGGTGGCCAGCAGGGAGAGGGAGGTGATTGTCCCCCTCTACTCGGCTCTGGTGAGGCAACATCTGCAGCACTGCGTCCAGGCCTGAGGTCCCCAGCACAGGAAGGATGTGAAGCTCTTGGAGCGGGTCCAGAGGAGGGCACTGAGATGGTCAGAGGGCTGGAGCAGCTCTCCTATGAGGAAAGGTTGAGGGAACTGGGCTTGTTTATCTTGGAGAAGAGAAGGCTCCAGGCAGACCTCATTGTGGCCTTCAGTACCTGAAGGGAGCGTATAAACAGGAGGGGAATGGTTGTTTGTGAGGGTGGATGGTGATAGGACAAGGGGGAATGGTTTTAAAGTGAGACAGGGGAGGTTTGGGTTGGATATGATGAGGAAATTTTTCCACCAGAGGGTGGTGAGGCACTGGAACAGGTTGCCCAAGGAGGCTGTGGATGCCCCATCCCTGCAGGCATCCAAGGCCAGGCTGGATGTGGCTCTGGGCAGCCTGGGCTGCTGGTTGGTGACCTGCACACAGCAGGGGGTTGGAACTGGATGAGCATTGTGCTCCTTTGCAACCCAGGCCATTCTATGATTTTAAGATTCTATGATAGGGCCAAGAAGAGTTGAGCGAGCCCTGTGTGCCTGCTGGCAGCCGGCTCCAGCCCGTGCCCCGTCCCGTCCCCGCAGGGCACAGCAGTGGCTCGGGGACACCTTTCCTTGTGGCCCCAGGCAGCTCTGCCTGGGAGCCAGCGGGTGGTGAGCAGAGGGTGTCCCAGCACTGTAGGGCTCACACACGTCTATGCTTGTTCCCCAGGATCTGAGCTGAGGATATTGCTGGTGGGCAAGACGGGGAGCGGGAAGAGTGCGACAGGAAACACCATCCTTGGAAGGGAAGCATTTGTATCTGGTTCATCATTACACGCGGTAACAAGATGCTTCAATATAGTTGAGAATGACTTTGCTGGAAGACCAGTTGTCGTTGTTGACACTCCTGGCCTTTTTGGTGGAAGAGTAGCCAATGTGAAAACAGCTCAAAACATTAAGGAAAGCCTTCAGGTCCTCTCTTCAGGATTCCATGCCATCATCATGGTCATGCAGATCACTGAAGAAGCAGAGAAAGTGGCTAAACGGGTGAACGACATTTTTGATACTAAAGCAGACAAGTACACAATCCTGGTATTCACCCAGGCAGAACAGCTGGAGCATCCAGAAGATCTGAAGGGTTTCATAGAAGAGAGGCCATACCTTAAGGAGCTGGCAGCAAAATGTGGAAATCGGTACATTGGTTTCAGCAACAGAGCCACTGGGGAGGTGAGGGATCGGCAGGTTGCAGAGCTCATCCGCATGATTGATGCCATGGTAGAGGAGAATCGCAGTGCTCCATGTTACACACAGGAAATGCTGGAGGAAGACACAGGGAAATTCCTTGAGAACTTTTGTACCATCCTGTAGGCAGCAAGGCATCAGTCCTAGAACAGACATCTCTTCTGCTGTGCCATTCCTGCTGTCTCAATGGGGCGATGTGAGGTATGGTATGTAGAGACGGGACTGAAGGAGCTGTCAATAAACACTGAGCATTGCTGCACCCTCTCAGCATTGTTGCACACACGGTGCAGTCGGGACGAGGCCCAGTGCTGGCTGTGCCT